GACTGTCTAAATTATAATAAGTAAACCTAAAAAATACTTTAATGGACATGACTGATATACATAGAAAGATTGTATTAATAAATTACATTATATTTTCACAATACTTATCATTTTCCCCAATATTTGTAATGATGTCAGATGTCCTGTGGAGTTTTAGACAGATCAGTGCATTTTTCAGGGATCTAATTTCTTATCCTTAAAATTAAAAAATTCTGCTACATTATCTCTATGCTCTTTTTTTTTTTTTTTTTTTTTTTGGTTTTTCTCTGGTACCGGGAACCGAACTCACGACCTTGCGCTTGCCAGGCAGGCGCTTTTTGCCGCTGAGCTAAATCCCCAGCCCCCTATCTCTATGCTCTTTTCCTAGTATACTGTCTGGTCTTTTAGAAATTCTATGGAAATTCCAAACACAGATGTTTATTAAGATTCTCACTTTTGTTTTCTTTTTGGCTCTGAACCTAGTTGAGACTATCGTTGGGCAACTCCAGGCAGTCACACTGAAGGCAGCAAGTGACCCTCGCAGTTCCTCTGAGCAGGGCTCACTGGGCCGCATGCTTTCCCTTCTCTTGCTGCAACAAGCTGTTGCTAGTCTTCTGGGATCTACTGCCTAGGGCTGCTCTCTGTCCTCAATACCGGTTTGTCAGTTGCCTCACTCTCACCAGCTCAAAAGCCTGTTGGAAAGTTTAACATTTAATCTCCACATACTTAAATCTTTCGTTATAAAATTGTTACCACAAATTATAACAGTGTCATAAGAATAACGATTTTCTTTAAGAAAAAGATAATTACTCATTGGTCTTTCAAAGTTTAAAAAAGAAGTAGGCCACATACTCCTTACCCATGGATCCCAATCTGAAACCCATAGTTTAATAAATACTTTGTGTGAAATGTGGGGAATATTCTTCAGTATTTCTTTTTTTCTCATAATTGGACTGTTTATTCTACAGCTATCTTCTAGGAGCTGGGAATACAATATGTATACTTTACCAAAAGATATGAATTTGATATGAAACTCCTTAATAATATTTCTAGTGAGTCAGATGAATTGATAATTATCTAAAAATGTTGTCAGGTTTTAAGTTTAAAAGTATGGCTTAAAACATATAAATAACTTTAGGATTTTATGATAGGGTTATAATTGTATCCTCATTCCAAAACAAAGTCAACAAGTAAAATGCACAGAAAAGAGTCTATCTAACAGATTACAAAATATATTATTTTTATGCAATATTTCCTTTTCTGAGAAAAACTATGGTAGTATCCAGACTTTGGAATCAGAAAACTCTGAGTTTTAAGTCCTGGTTCAATACCTTACTAGTCAACAATCTTTAGGTGAAATACTTAGCTCTCCTCAACTTATTACTTTTCTTCTTTATAAAATAAGGTTAATAATATTACCATGCTGTTATTGAGGATGAAATTCAATCATATAAACAAAGTGCATATCAGAGTTTCAGTGCTAAAAAAGAGTAGTTATCATTAACAGAATCATATTTATATTAGACAGAAAGTATTTTCTTTACATTCACTTGGAATATATTTCATTTTTATGAGGAACCTTACTGATATTGATTACTTATGATGTTGAAAAACCTCATGTGTAGGAATGAGTTAAGATATATTTTCCTTTTAATTTTAAAACAATCAATACTGCCGTTGGGAATATTTAATTTCTTCTTGAGGGAACCCGAGGAAATCAATACCATTTCCTGGATGCTGCATAAAGTTGAAATTAAACCAACCTCAATATGGTGAGTCGGACCAAGACAATAGGGCTCAGGTCAGCAAAATTTCCCACACAGTTTGAGATAGGTCCCAGAAATGTGTGAGATTAGACATCCTGCCATATTCTGGAACTGTGGATTTGAATAAGGATAGCATGAAGGAGACGATGAATCTCCAGGGGTTGTCCTTAACTTTATACCAAATCTCAGTGATTTTTTTCAGTGTGAATCCTAGTACAGAGATAATGATGATGGTGGAAATAAAATGTCTTTTGATCTTTATATTATTTTTGAGACAGGGTCTGGCTTTGAACTCACTGTGTAACCTACACTGGCCTTGAACTTTCTGTTATAGCCCAGGGTGCCCTTAAACTTGCAATCCTCCTGCCTCAGACTCCTGAGTGCTGGGACTATAGGCATGTGCCATCATACCCAGTTTATTGTTATTTTTGTTATCAACAAAATGAGTGTCATTAATTAATATTTAACTTTCCTTGTTCCTGGCTATCTTTTAGCCAATAGAGCTGATGCAGTCATGGACTGATAAGAACAAAGTGAATAACAGATAAACTATATGTGTATGAACAACAATGTAAATATCAGTACATATTAGATAAACACAGGGCAGCAAAATACTGTATCCAAATAGTGATGTGGGGCAGTACAAAGAAAGGTGAATATGCAAGCAGCAATTTAGTTTTCATACCAGTTATCCGTCAAATTATCTGTGGCAGGCCACTCACCTTTGCTAGGGCTTAGCAGCTTTTGGCCTGCTCTACATTTTTTTTTTTTTTTGGTTTTTCTCCAGTACCGGGAACCGAACTCATGACCTTGTGCTTGCCAGGCAGGCGCTTTGCCGCTGAGCTAAGTCCCCAGCCCCTGGCCTGCTCTACATTTTAATATGGTAAGGAGTTCATTTCACATATTCTGAGACATTCACTATTTGTTTGCCCCTTTCATTCCTATGTAGTGCATTCTGCCTTTTAGCATTTTAATATCAACTCCTAACCCCAAACTCAGTGGAAGTGGAGAAGGCTTTCCTCTTTCCCAGTTTCCTTAACAAAAGCCATAATACTCTAATTTTGGGGTAATCACTTGATTTTAAGTCTTCTGTTGCTTTTAAAATACAAAGATCCCAGCCAGGCATGGTTGAGCACACCTGTAATCCCAACACTCAGAGGCTGAGGCAAGAGGATCACTGAGAGTTTGAGGCCAGCCTGAACTGCATAGCAAGACCCTATCTCAAAAACGAAAACAAAGATCCCTGGAAACAGGTACATTTTAAAAATAGAGATGTAGATTTCAGTACAACTGTACAAGGGAGGAAGCAGCAGACTTTATATTACAGTCACTTGATGCTTTGTGATAGAGTACCAATTGCTCCTTAATGCCTTTTGTCCCATTCATCTTTATTTGTTAAAGGATTCCTAATTTTTATCCAAGCATGTCTTCCCTGAAAAAAGACATTTCCTATCCTCATGTAGAACATGTTATCATAAAACTGAGGAGTAGGTGTCAGAATGTAAGAGCAGTGATGTATACTGACAAAGGAATGAGGTACTGCCCTTCTGATCTTCTCTTCCATTTTGCTGACTGGACTGTGGCCATGAGAGCTGGAGCTCAAATAACCCTCTGTAACCATGGGAAGGAGATTCCCAGATGGCAGCCTGATGTCAAACCAAGTCAAAGTGCGCTGATGTTGCTCTGGCTTCAGGGAGAGCGTCAGCTCCACATCACTTTTGTTCAGTAGATATCTGAGCATATTTTATGTTCCTTCGTCTGCCCACCTAAATACTCAGCTAAAGCACTATGAACAGGAAAGAAATAAGTTTCCAATGATCTTTTACAAGTCTACAATTTTCAACTCAATTTCCATGTATCCTTCCACAAATAGAATGTACTTAAAAACTAAGGATGTATATCATTTTAGTAAAAAGCTGACAAGAGATACATTTCTCAAAGAACAGTAAATGTATAAATTGAATATTCAGAGTATTTAAATATGTTTTACATTGGACTCTGAATTTTAAGAATTTTGATGATTTCCAAAATCATATTGTTATGAGAAAGCTAATCCTAAGTAACTGTGAAATACTAATGACAATTCTACACTTGTAACCATATTATTTCACTATTTCTTTTGAAAAAACTTTTATAAAAAGATGTACCCTTACTATGTCTCAATTTAAAAATTGCAGTACACCTGTAGGAAGCTGCTATCATGAAACATTCACATGGGATCCTCTTCTATCTTTTAATTTTATTAGCTATTTTAGATTAAATTTCTCTAATATCACATAACCCTCAACTCTGAAGTAAACTCTTTCTGAGAAGTTATAAGACTTATTTACCTAGATGATATCACAATACATTCTTACCAATTTCGTGATTATAAGACAGGGCTTAGATTTCTACAAAGTAAAACAAAACAAAACAAAGGCTCAAATGACCCGGGCAGTTAGAATAGATGGGTTAGAATACATGGTTGCTGCATTACTGAATCTATATAGTGAAATTTTCAAGGTGTACATCTTTAAAAAAAATCTTACATAAAAGTTCTCCTAAGGCAATGTTTCTCAAATTATTTCAAAGAGCTGCTGGCATCAGAGTTGCTGGGGTGTTTTTTCTTTTAAATGCTAATACCCAGACTTCTCATCAGATCTACTCAGTCAGAATCTCTGCACCTGGTTTGAGAATATTAATGTTAATCCTCTCTCCCAAGAGACAGTCAGGCACATTTAAGTTCCAGAACCTCCATTCTACTGCTTTGTCTAAGGCAATGAAGTTTAAAGCTGATTCACGTCTTTCCTTCTTCGCCTTCCTGCACATAGACTACCATTCTCTTGTACTCTGCCTCCAGTATAATAAACTTACCAAGGCAGGGATCATTGCTGGATGATCAATGTTCGTTCTTAGGGGGAGAGGGCTGTCTGTAGACAGGTACACGGGACACAGAGTCATATATATCAGTCAACCGATGGGGAACAGCAAGTGCAACAAAGGTACAGCTCAGAGATTTCAAAACCATGTTAGGAACTAGTCTAGAAGTGTGACTATATAAAGAATGTCTCTATGTTAAAGAAAGGACAGGATAACTTAATAGAGGTCTCCCATCTCATTCCTGACTGTGCTTCTGGGCTTTGGTGATGAATGTGTTCATTTTATGCGACTGGCTCTGGGTAAATAACCCAGTGCCCGGCAGCTCCCCCGCCCGGGCAGGCAGGGGCGGTGAGGCGCGCGGAGCGGAGGAAGTGCGGGAGGGGCCCTGGGCTTTCCGATAGACTCGCAGCCCATTCTCTAGCAGAGTTCGCGCTCCCCTGCCCAGGCAAGGAGCCGGCCTCGAATTCAGCTGTCCTTCCACGTCCCTCCTTTCTCTCTGCGCCTGCTGCCGCCGCCGCCGCCGCTACCGGTCTTCCATTGTGTGGTGCCTGTTCTCTTTAGCTCCGCTTCCCGCCTCAGTCCTGAACCTCGCTGGGAGCGAGATTAACTCGAGAACTGCTGAACCTCCAGTTGCAATGGAGCTGTACGGAAAGGTAAGAAGGAGCGAGTTCCCCAGCGACAAACCTCGCTTTCGCGGACTTTGGGCCGTGTGTGTGTGTGTGTGTGTGTGTGTGTGTGTGTGTGTGTGTGTGTGTGTATGGGCGCGCGCGTCTTCTCAGTGCAATATGCAGATAAACTTTCCTTCCATGAGTGCTACTCGTAGTCATTTTCTCCTTGTCTGTTGAATATGATTGAAAATTACCCCACTCAGCCCATGAAAATGTATAAACTTTCCGGATTCCTGGTAAAGAGGGGTAAGGCGGCGAGGGTCGGCGCTTCGTTTGTATTGGAAATCAGCACAAAGTATTGCCTTTCCTATCCCGGGAAGCACGGTCAGGCTCCCCAAGGGACAATTAACTAAGAAAAATCTCTAGCTGGGACAAATTGGGGTCACTTTCGCCGGTGCCTTGCGGGGAAACCGGTGTGCGAGGTTGAGAGCGTAATAACAGCCAAGAGCGATTGGAAAGGCTGAGCAGGGAGGCTCCGCGGCCCGCAGCCCCTGGAGGAGAGAGCTGCTTTGGGCGTTCTTGCTGGGAAATGTAGTTCTCGGCCCTGCCATGTTCACCCAAGCCCTGCAAGAATGAACTACGACTCCCAGGAGTGCACGGGGCTGCCGGCCAGTACGCTTGCGCAGTACTAGGAGCGGACAGCTCCGGTGCTGATGTTGGAGCCGGTTAGAGAAACCCAAGAGTGCAGTGTGAAGCGTGCAACGCGCCGGCTGCACGCTTGACCAGGCGCCCGGGCCATCTCTGTCCTAGCCAGAGAGAAAGGACATTTGCCTACAATGAGACACGAAGCGCCCATGCAGGTGGGTCAATACAGAAAGAGCATCCTCGGAAGGAATTCAGAGAGATGCTTTTCTCTTAGGTCCGAGCACAAACTGCCCTACCTGAGGGAAGGTCTACGCAGCCACTCGAGCAGAGGTGGCTCGCTTCTTCTGGGGTCGGAGATAGGTCCTTCACGTTCCGTGTGGTTGTGATTGGGGCGGTCTGGATGAGGGATAGGGCTGTTCATTACCTTTACGGGCTCGGTAAGCGGTGTATGAGAGTGTCTACCGAAAATGAAAACCCGAGCAAACAAAAGTCAGGGGAGCGAGGAATATCCTGGTGGCACTGATCATCCCTCTTGGCTTCCCAGGTTTGTAACTGCCGTGTAAATTCAGGGATTGAAGGCAGATCAGTGAGGTTGGGAGTTGAGAAATCTTCCCCGGTATCTAGATAAAGGGAATTCTGCTTCATGGACGCATTAAGAAAAGGGAAGCCAATATTGGAGTCCCGAAAGTCTTCCTTTTTTTTTTTCTTAGTGTCCCATTGTCAGCAGAAAATAGAAATCGCACTTAAACTTGGTTTACCCGGAGCCACAGTAGCCCTTTATCAATGCCCACATAACTGGTTCACTCCATCTGTGAGACGCCAAACCTGTTTCCTGTGTGAGGTGCCCATTTATTGTATCTGTTTGGACTTCCCATTTCAGCAGCGCTCTTGGATTTGATTCCTTGAGAAATGCAAGACTCTGGCACAAAGGTACCTCTACCTAAGCATCTGGTTTAAGTTTGTTTTTAAGTAAGGATGAGTATATTTCTCCTTTGTATGTATGGACAGTTAACGCTAAATAGCCTGAGTTCATTAACCAAGCAGAGTGCTCCCACTGCATAACAGAAAAACATTTTATGAATGGGCTGAGAGAATAGAACACAGCATTCGGGATGTGTCATCGCTCAACCCAGCTCTGCTGACAAACCCAGCAACGTAAATATTTAACATTAATCCAGGCTTAAAGTTTTCCATGGTTTCTTCATAAATCAAGAACTTCAAACATCTGGTTTGCTTTACTTTTAATTTATTTTATGGGTTATGTATATTAAGGTGCCACGAATTGACTGCTAGATAAAACATCTATAGACTGTAATTGTTTGTTGAAAGATTATGTAATACAAACCCTCAAATTACCTTAAGAGTTATTGAAAATCTGATTTGTTCCAGGGAACAGTGGCCCCATTGTGTGCCTTCTAATACCTCTGTTTGGGACTTAGCTTTTCATTACAGACCTGATGTGAAAAGAATCTGAACAGACAATAAAAGTACAAGCTGTTCCATTTATGACGTATGGGTTAATGATAATTTTCCATTACTGGAGGTATTGCCAAGATCCAACTGACTAAATTAATCATATTTGATTATAAGTAAACAGTTGATAGTCAATTTAAAAGTAGGGTGTTATACTTCACTACATATATGTGTATCAAAACATCATGTTCTACATCCTAAATTTACACAGCAAGAAAAGTTTTGCAGAATTACAAAAAAAAACAAAACAAAAAGAATAAAGTAGATTGTTAGTATTTAAAGCTGATGCCATCAATGTTCTGACATCTCTCTGTGAAAATAAATTATGAGGCAATTAACTACATTGTATATTGATTTTATTTTCTTATAAATGTGGCTGTTCAGAGGGTCACTAGATGTTACAGAACTTTATGAAGTTAATGGTTTAGGAAACAAGAAATATTTGAAATTGTCACCTGTGTCTACCAAATAGATAGTAGACACTGTAATGCCCTATTTTCATCAGAACTTTAACAACAAATTAATATAAAAATTAGATAAAATGGAATTAATTTACTTGTGGATAGATATTTTTATTTACAGTGAATTTTATTCATTGGAATTGATTTTTGACATTTAGAAATCTAAACTCCCAAATGCTATCATGCAGAACACCTACATGATAAGAAATCAAAGGATTTTTAAGTATAGTCAATTGAAGACACAATTGATTCACTTTAACTAATAAACTACTGTTGTTAACTGCTCTCCATTATTATTAGACTTTTAAGAATATATAATAATAGGAACAATAAAAATTACAAACATGATTTAAATTTATTTAAAGTAGCTTTAATGTCTCAGCACCCATACTTATAAATATAGGCATATCTCATGCGACTTTAAAGGATCAAATTACAACAAGATAAATAGTTAAAATTCTTTTTTCAAATTTGAAAACTGAACAACATTGTCATTTGAAAAGCATTCCCCAAATATTTCTTACTTAGGTTTTAAAAGATGAGTCACAAACAAAATCTTCTTCATAATTTCATTTTCCTAATAAATTCTTTTCTCTCTTTGAATAAATTTAGTTCAATTGTTGTTTTGAAACAAAATGGGCTTCTTAGTTTATTGGGTACTTTCTCCATTTATAATATTTTTCTTAAATAAATATTTCAAAAAATTATACTGTCCTTTAAAAAGCATCTGATGTACCTGTATACATAGTTTGGTGTTATATTCAAGGTATGTGTTTTTCATATATGTATAGTTTCTGAAAAATATTTTTCTCCAAATTGACAGAAAGTGAGGGATGATTTATAGTGACTAGTGAAATAATATATAATGATACTCCATGTTTACTTCATAACTAATAACCAGGAATAGCATTTCATAAGAATTTCAAGTGATGAGCTTAGAATTTTAATCCAGGAGATGGTGATTTGTGTCTCCTCATTTAGTCTATATCTCATTCTGAGCGTCAAATGACATAGGGAATAACTATGCTCATGACTTGAGGGAAAGACTTTGGTAAGCAAATTGTCATTTGATTCAAGAGGCTGATTGAATAAATTCCAGTTTACTTTATCTGTGCCAAGCACTGTACTTTGCATGTAGGTGTGTGTGTGTGTGTGTGTGTGTGTGTGTGTGTGTGTGTGGTGTGTGGTGTGTATAAAACAATTATATATATGATTATGCAGTTTGCATATAGATAAAAATATTTATAGATGTTTAAAATCATACAAATTACTATTAGCTTACTTACAAGCAGATAACTGGAGCTTGTTAGGATTAAGTAACTTTTTCAACATAAAAGAATCAATATTATGCCAGATTTCTCTGCCTAAAAGCTCATATTTTTTCCTCTACTATTTTGGGTTCCTGTAAGACATAAATGGTTGGTGTAAACAATGAGACCACTATTGATAAATATGATTTGTTCACTTGGTTCAGAAGAAAGAAAAATATATTGACCCTGTCTTTTCTTTATAAAATAAGCATGCATAAACTAAACCAACTATTTTGAAAAGGACTAACATTTTAAAGATACTTGCATACTTGGCACCATGGTGCATTCTTGTAATCCCAGCACTCAGGAAGTTTGAGGAAGGAGGATTTGAATTTCGAGCTGAGCCTGAAGAATTCAGCACCTGAGCAACATCTTGTCTTCATACACAAATAATAGATAGATAAATAGATAGATAGATAGATAGATAGATGTTTTCTCTCCCCCGGATTTATAATTTCTCATAGGTTCATTTACTCTCTTACATGACCAAAGGAGAATCCATTGTTCCTACATAAAATGCTTACTCTTCAGTTTTTTAATAACAAGCTTTCTAGATCATCTCACAAATGCAGAGCTTTCTAATTCTTTAGGAAACTTCAAATACAAACTGTCTACCCAAAGCAAGAAGAAAAGTGCCAAAGAAAGACTGGTTAAAGTGAGGAGGATTGAGGAAACTCTGTGATGTAGACTGAAGATGAACTTGAAAGCTGTTAGTTAGATATTGAATGCTGGCATACTGTACATCAAACCAAACCAAGTTACAATGAATTAACATCTAAGTATCAGTGTTTCATTGGCTATGGAAAGTATGTGGTATTATTCCACTTCACTATTTTTGAATTCCTGACATTATACATTCTCCACTACCATCCCTCCATCTTTCTGTGAAATAGACATTTAGTCCTCACCTTTTACAGAAACAGCTGGCGCTGGAGAAATGAGAAATTTTCTCTACTCCATTGGTATCCACCTCATTTCCATGAAAAAAGTAGAGGATAACAAAGGGGAATTAATCTATAGTACAAATTAATTTTTGTACTATAAGAATACGTTTCCATTTCCACTCTTTTCAGTCCAAGAAGTAGTGGATTTATCACCAGTTCCTAATGCCAGGGTAAGCTTGTATTGGGACAAGAAATTCCTCTTTTGACCATAC